ACGATAAGCGTTGTTTTACTTTTCAGATTGTTGCCATCAAATATTATCGCCCTGTATTATATTTAAAAAAATTAAATAATGAAGAATCTGCATGAATTTATGTATGTTACTGGCATTGTGATAAAACAGCGGTACCCAGAGCCATCAAAATTTGAATAACGTAATCTTTCATGGAATATGGGCATGTGGAAGCCTTAATTTGAATTTGAAATTTGTTTTATTGTCGATTTCATATTTTGTAACACTTTAACGAATTTTTGATTAACAAACTCAACGATTTCAAAGTGAGGAATGACAACACTAAACGGGGAAGGGGGATATTATTTCCAGCGCAAGACTGCGTATCGGAAATTCTAAAGATATGCTCATTTTAAAATTATTTTGCAATATTGCTGTTGAATTAAATTTTATGGTTTAAGTGCGAAGAACATGATATTTAACGAATAAAGGTAACACACAAAACATTAAAAAACGCCCCTTTGGGCGTAATTTAAAATCTGAAACGTTTCAAATTTCTATTTATTTATTTATTATTATTATTATTATTTTTTTTTTTTTTTTTGACATTCTCACATAGAGCTCCGGCACTTCTAATTTTAGAATTTAAGCTCTGGATTTAATAAAGTCATAACAAATGCCACCCCCAAAAATAACGACTAGTGGCTAATGGGCAAAACTTCTTAACATTCGTATAATTATCCGATTTAAACGGAATAGATTCTTTTGTTTCCCATTGTTTGCTACTCTAGTTTCGCTTTTAAAGATTTAACAAAAAGCATATGACCTTCATGGTGTGAAATATCATGTTTTCTTTTTATATTCGATTAATAATTCTTTTCTTTTTTCGTATTTTGGATTTTCTTTTACCTTGTAGTACTGTACTGAAGTCTCTCACAATGATCATAATTTTAAAAGATCTGATGTATACACCACATAACTTTCTTGTACGGAATATTAAATTATACGCATTTTTTGCTGAATTTCATTTAAACTTATTTTCTCAAATTTCATTAGAGATAGATTTCTCATTAATTCAGTTCTCACTAAGCGGCAATGTAATAAATAATACATAAAACTTCAAAATACTTTATTAAAAATTGAAGAATATAGAAAAATATAAAACAACAAATACAATTAAAACAATTGAAAAAAAAATTTGTGCAATTAAAACTAGTTTCTCCGCAAAAACAAGAAATTCGGCCAGCGGGCAAAAAGGCAGATGTTTTGGTGCACAAAACTGAAAGTTTAGTTTTGGTCTCATTCGTCAAAAAGGCACTAAAGGTGTAGAAACTAACTTAATTCACTATTCTGCTAAGTTTCCAATGTAAATAAATTGTAATAAATGTAAATAAATAAATGTAAAATGTAAATAAATAAATAGGCTGCTATGGTAAAATTTGGGAAAAGAGTTCTTTATTCTATCCTTACATACAGATGTCACGCAAAAATGTCATTAAATTGTATTCGATAGAGGTTAAGATGGATATTTTCTTTGAAATATAGTAACCGAAAATTTTTGCGATTACACTACTTCCTTTACTTCATACAAGACAGTAAAAAAAAAAAAGCATTGATATAAACAAAGCATAACAATAATAAACAAAGCACAGAAGCACAAAAGACATCTATCTATCCCAATTTCCGCCCCGAATATCGCGCATAGCGCGACGTGTTTGGCTCAATAAAGTAGTGCTATATTAGCACTTCACGCAAAAAGTTCGTCAAATAACTTTCTAGTGGGGAAACGATGGAAAAGAGAGTACAAGGAAATTCCAAAGCAGTATCCACCTTACTAGAAAGTAAAAATTTTAAATTCTGCTTCAGCAATCGATTCTACAATACTAAGTGCAAGTAAAATCCTTTCCTCAGTGGTTTTAATCTTCTTACATTTTTATTTTCATGTGCCACTATTATTGATTTTCTTGTTTTTATAAAAGAAAACTAGATGGGAATTATAGGATGATTTGAAGTTCCTTAAAAATCTGGCACTACAGGCTTGGGTTTGCCATGCTAAAAGCATAAACAAACAATATTGATATCTGCAATATTTATCGTATATTCCGGCATAATGCGTACGGGTGTATAACATGCACCTACAATTCCAAAATACATTTTATAATTTTTAGATATCTTTACAAAGAAACCTTCGAACAATGGCATACTGAATAGGCAAGCAATTAGTAGAATAATTTGCGAATGAGAGGAAATAATTCTGCAAAGAGGAGGGGCGTATTCAATAGAGATGTGAACAAGAATATTATTCTAGAGTTTTGAGAAAAGGGGAACATAATCCCTCTTTTCTCGAATTGTAAGAATGTACATCCAACCAGAATGAATTTTAGAAATTATGAGCCAGATGTTTTCTCTTTCTGCACTCAGTTAATGCCGTGATTTTGAACCAGAATGAATTTTAGAAATTATGAGCCAGCTGCACTCAGTTAATGCCGTGATTTTGAAATGAAAATCGAAGGCTTTAATAAGCTGGGACAATGAGAGAGTAAATGATGGTGAAGATGAAACAGAACTCGGTATGCCTGAAGATATAATAGAAGATAAACATGCCTAACTTTTCATGTTATCTGAATAATGAAAATTTTTAAGTTTATAAGGTACAGTCAAAAGTCTTTAATCCGGATGTCCATAATCCAGAATGATCTATAATCCGGACCTCAAAACTACGAATTTTCTGCGCATGCGTAAATGCATAATGCGTCTATGCATGTGCATAATACCTTTATGCATGTGCATATGCATTTACATATGTGCATAATACGTTTACGCATGCACGTTTAATGTATAACGGATGGTATAAGCTAGGCTAAAATTATCTATTTCAGTTAATGTTGAAGATTGCGTTGTTCCTTAATCTTCTAATTGGATCCGGCTTATTATATTTTGCAGACTGTTAGAGCAATTTTATAAAAAGTAAGCTTGAACTTTCGATTATGTCAAAAAGAGTTTCCGATTCTGGAGCTGCCAAAGGATGTACAAAGCGAAAGCATGTTTCGATGTTCATCAAACAAAAGTGGTATTGCTGCAAAAAATGGATAAAGGCATATTCTTTGTTTCTCTAACCATTCCGAAATCTCTTTATCAATTTCACGCTGCTCTGCAGGGAAGGGGGACAACACCGCGCGCGCAATGAATATCCTTATCTTCAGGGCAGATGTTTTTATTTTATTTGGCTTACGATTCCTCACTAAATGTAGCATTTCATCTCGATGTACTTCGTCTTTGATATGATTTAAATCCAATTCCTCGTTATTATAAATATCATGAATATACATCAAATAGTTTTCCAGTTGCAATTTTCTAATTTCGACTATGCGTAATGTATGCTTTACGCATGCGCACGTTGAAACAAATGTTTAATAAAGTAAACAAACAAATAAATATTTACCTTTTTTTTTTGTAAATTTTGATACCCTTTAGATCATAATTGCTCTTTATTTCATAAATTACGGTTTAATACTTTTAATTTTATAATTTCTGCATGCCATCTTACCAGATTTAAGCTGGTGATCTATAATACTGAAAACCGACGAGTCCGGATTAAAGATTTTTGACTGCATATAATTTCTTTTAAATAAAAAAAACCTTTTGGTACAGCTAAAAATCTAATTTCTATATGCTGATTTTTTTCTTTTCTTTTTCTTTTTTCTTTTTTTTTATATCCGACATATAACGAGCACCCATAAATTTCTTTCCTTTTTTTTTGTATTAAAAGTGCGCGTTATACACTGGAATATACGGTATATGCTCTAATGTCCAGCCTTCACAGTACAGCAAAATTACCTGGAAATCTGGATAGCAAACTGACGGAGATTTCCACATAAAAATAATTTCATACCATTGTATAATTTCCAGTTATGCTTTTACGATTTCTATTCATCTACAGTCGAACTTGAGATTTTGTCTACTCTCAAACCGTCCTTGCTCTCTGCCACTCTACGAAAACGGACTATGCCGTACCAGTGCATTCAAACTTGTTATAAAATAATCAGCAAATTAAAAATTTTGCTTGGTTTTAAAATTAAATTTGGGATGCTTTTCAACGTACTTATTATTTTAGTTCTTTAGAATTCAAATAGCAGATCTTCTAATGTATGAGTAACATCATCAGTCGAAGACGTCGAGAGTTTATGAAGTCGACAGTGTTAATTTGGAACAGAAAACATCTTTATACAATGTTTAAGTAATAATATTTTGCAACGAAAGAGAATATTAAAGATGGATATGGAAACATTTATTCATTCGTTAAATTTTAAAATGAACTTCCTTGTTAAATAAAAGTTTAACTATTCCATGAGTTAAATAACATTCTTTTTGTAGTATAATTATTTACAGTGGCTCCCAAAAGTGTTTGTACACTTATGATTAGAATTGAAATAGGGCTCTATCCATTAATTAAAAGTAAACTTTCTGAATGAAATTTTAATAATAAGATTTCTAATCTAATCGTAACAAAATTACATGAAATATTTTCGCGCCAAAGAATCTGTAGGGTGCCCTTAGAAATTCTTTGGTCGCGCGCTGTCACACTCTTTTTGTCTCTCAATTCAAAGGTTATATTCTTTCTTTGAGTGGCGTTATTATTTCCCAGCCTTATCTCGGCATGACTACCGCAATAAACTAATAAAACATAAAATATCTTGTATCAACACAGCTAAAATTTTAAAATAAATTTTTCTGTGCAATCGTATAAATTAATAGTTTTAAAAATATTTTTAATAATCTTCACAGCATATTGATTTGACTCACATACCGCATAACCTGTTTCCACCATTTTCGAAAACAAAGAGACGCGGTGACGTCACTGTAGGAAAAAAAATAATAAAATAAAATGTAGTAGCCGTCGGTGACGTCATTGCAACGTGATTGGTCAACTTCATGATATCGAGTTTAACCATTGGTGGAACGAAACATAGCTTTCTACGAAGTTCGAGAAATTGTTGAGATAATCCTAGCAGAGTCTAGTGCATTATTGTTAGAAGAAAAAACACCATTTTTGCTCAGTTTTGTAACGCGTTAGTAAGGAATTCAGCTAAAGTGATCTGTAATTATGCCGCCTCAACCAAGTGGTAAAGCTGTGAAAAAGGCTGGGAAAGCTCAAAAAGCCGTTCGTACTGGTGATAAACGCAAAAAGAAGAAGAAGAGGAAGGAAAGTTTCAGCATTTATATATACAAAGTGTTGAAACAAGTGCATCCTGACACCGGTATATCCAGCAAAGCTATGTCTATAATGAACAGCTTTGTTAATGATATTTTTGAACGTATTGCTGCGGAGTCGTCTCGTCTAGCTCAGTACAATAAGCGTTCAACAATTACCAGCCGAGAAATTCAAACAGCTGTGCGTTTACTTCTTCCCGGAGAACTTGCGAAACATGCGGTGTCCGAGGGAACCAAAGCTGTGACCAAGTATACTAGCTCCAAGTAAACATACTCATTTCCAAAGGCTCCATTTTTTTTACATGTTCTTGGGTTAAGTATTACTTATATGAAAAAGCATCGTGTTTTATTATTCTTAACTAGTGTTTTAAATATTATTCGTACCATGCAGCCTCATTACCTTTCATGGCTACGTGTCTGTTATGACAAGTGACTAGATGGAAACATGTGAATATGCAAAAGTAAGATTCTTCAAGTAACGAAATAATAACTCTGGAAAAACCTTTAGTTTTTTGCATTTGCAACGAACAGGACTATTGTATCTTGCGTAATATTTTTCAGTGTGCTCTTGAACGCAGTTTGGTATATTTTGTATGCTAGTACTTTCTTAAAATTAAGTATATCTTACGTCATGCAGAAGTAGTAGTATTTTAAAATTAATTTTTGCATAGTAATATCATTGATGCAAGCATTTTTTATGCTTAGTTATTGATATATAACTTGCTAGTTCTGAAAATGTTTAATTGTAAATTTGACGTGTACTTCAAATTAAGTGCTATTAACAAAATTTTTAGAAATGTCACTTGTTTCTCTGAAAGGTATAATTTCTAAATTCATGTACATTTTCAAGTGTTGTGTAATTTCATGTTTCAATTTCATGGTTTAAATAAAATTTGATGCTAAAAAAAAAAAATGTGTTCTTATTGTAAACAGTAATTCTAATAAATACATTTTCTTAAGATAAAATTCACCAAAACTTGGAAAAATAGAATTTTTGATAGTTGCATGCCTAATTACGATTGAAAAATTCGATTGTGAAAAAAATGAAAGCACACAATTTGAATTATTAATGTATGTTGAAGTAGTACACTTTTGATTATGTAATTCAAATACCTTTGTGTCATATTGTTCACAAGCACATATTTCCACTGTGATGTTTTGGTGGGGGACATAAGATTTGTTGAATTGCGTGGAAATTGCATTTTAAACAATTAGCAGTACATTTCTGTAAAATGTAGTTTTCAAATAATTAGAAATAAGTGTTTTAAAGTACATTTGCCTTGTACTACAGTATGTTATAAAAGGTCTTTTCTGAAACTAATAGCATTTTAGTTAGCTAAACATATAGCTGTGATGACACCAAAAGGCATTTTAATTAGCATACTGTCATACAAAGTGAAAAAGTTTTCAAGCTTGGTATTTGCCTAAATGCAGTAATTTTCTGAAAAGGTTATTTCTAACAGTATATATTGTTATAATACAAACCAAATCGTCAAACATTTTCAGGCTTGATGTTTATCTAAATGCAGTAAATTTCTGAAAAGTTTATTGCTTAGTTATATTACAAACCAAACCACTATGTGAATAAATTTATAGTTTTTATCAGTCTTAAGTTACTGGTGGTTAATTGTCTTTCTGATTCTGTGACTTATGGGATTCTGCATAATGTACAATTTTTTCTTGTTGAAAATTTTAAAGATTTTTAACTTTACATGATATCTGTTAAAAATTGAATGATTAAGTTTTTGTCCCAAGAATATATTCTGAAGAGTATATTCTAAATCTTGAATATATTCTAATCTGAAGAATACATTCTAAATTGTGTTCATTTCAATATATTAAGAGTATTAAATGAGATTAATGTATTTAATTCCATTCATATTAGAAGTAATATTTACCCTTAAGATTTACTCAAGGAAGCATGTTAGAATTTTTTTCATATTGAAGATTTACTGATCTGAGATAGTTAAAATGTAGTTAAATGTTGTACGGCAGAGTAATAAATGAGAAAATTGTTCAAAGAACAGAATCTTTTCATTCTGTGTATATGTAATGCTTTATGATTCAAACATGAAACTGTGAAAGTTCACGATGGTCATGTTTGAGATCAACTAGTAGTATTTTGCATTACAAGCAAATGTATATAACAGATTTCTAAAAGCTGTCTGTTAAGTAAGATTCATAAACATTATAAGGAACTAAATGGAAATTTATGTAAATGAATTCATTAGAGCAAAAGCTTTGATAAAATTTGGTACTTTTCCGTTAGCGGGGTGCAAATGTTGACAATTGTGAATTAAACGCAAGCGAGACAAGTTGCCAAGCGAAGTAAATGACAAAACAGTCAATGGAATAAAAGTCGGAAAAGTTCAACTATAAACAAATATTTATTAACAAAACAAGTTAACTATAAACAAATATTTATTAATAGTAAACAAAACAAGTTAACAAATATTAATGAATTGTAAACAAAACAGTTTTATCAAAAAGAATGCCTATAAGTATTGATTTTTCCAGAATACGGTGATGTCCTTGAGAATTTGCTCAAATGGATCATTTACTCCTCGTCTCCACATAATTTCAGCGAAGTACGACTTGTAATGATGGTGAGAATTGATTTCTCCATTTGGCAGTGCCCCAAAGTCGTTCGATTTTTTGAGTGTTCACATCAGTGTTGGGATCAACAAAATAGTACCTGTGATATGAAATGTTGTAGACCAGCTTCTTCCATTTTAGTTGTGCAGCAGCCCTTCCAGGAATTGGAATAGATGAATGACCCTTTGATGTGATTTGTTATCACTTGTAACAGTACAGGTAAAGAACGGTTTGGAACTTTAACCAGAGAGCATTTGTTCGTTTTGCTGCAAATGCCATCAAATGTCTACTGTTCTGGAGGAATTCGACTGGCATTGTATTCTTTCGTTTTGTTTCATTTTCTCTCGCCTATTTCAACTGTGTTTTTCAGGATTACCAATTTTTTTTTTTTTTTTTTCCCTCGCATTCCGTTAATACTTTTATAGAAAATTCTCTTGAGTAGTTGTTCCAATCTACAACTGTATTATGATTCATACCCAGTTGTTTTTCACACCATTTGACTGTCATCTCTGCGTTCCAGCTGTAAATAAACCTCAAAGATGTTAGAAAACTCAGTCTGGACGATTTGAACCACATACCATTGTGAATGCTCTACTTCGTGTGGCATGTTGAAAGATTGCACCGCCAACGTATTCTATCACAAAAAGACAGTTTCATTTCATGATTCTGATATTGCATTCTTTGCTAATAAACCTTTCTCTTGAAAAAAAAGAGACTTCATCTTCTTCAGTTCTGACTGAATCTTAAATTTTCATAATTTTTTAAAACAAAAATTAAGATAGAAGAAAAAAAGGAAAAACATGCTTTGTTTTGAATGAATTCATAGAATAAAGCATATGGCCCCAAATGAACATTCTCCTTATAGTTGTAAGAAATTTGGTGGGATTCTACATTATTTGGCGATTTTTTGTTTGCGTCTGAATAACGGAAAAGTATCTAAAATTTTTATAATTAATCGGCCACTAACCAAATACAGTCAAAAGTCGTTAATCCGGACTCGTCGGGACTTCGGCGATTCCGGATTATAGATCATCAGTTTAAATCTCGTAAGATGGCATGCAGAAATTTCAAAATTAAAAATATGAAACCGTAATTTATGAAATAAAGAACAATTATGATCTAAAGGGTATCAAAATTTGCAAAAAGAAAAAGCTTAATATTTATTTGTTTACTTTATTAAACATTTCTTTCAATGTAAGTTGTTTAAATTTTTTTGCTTCGTTTCATGTGATAATACTTTCTCTTTAATTCTATTAAAACAGACATAATTTCTTGTTCAGTTACAAAGTTCCGCCGTTCAAGTCCTATAATTGCTGTGTCAAGAACACCGACTAATTTGTCAATCGAAATTTTTTTGTTTTCAATAACCTCTGTCACTTTTCTTCGCTATCGGAAGCGAATTATAATGACGAGGAATTTGTTTTAAATCATATCAAAGACGGAGCATATCGAGATGAAATACTACATTTGGTAAGGAATTATAAGCCAAATAAAATAAAAACATCTGCGCTGAAGATAAGGATAGTGCTGACAAATCAACTTCCAATTCATTACGCGCCCCCCGCCGAGCAGCGTGAAAATGATAAACAGATTTCGGATTTCAAAACATACTTTCGCTTTAGATCCTTTACATATTAACAAATATATATCGGAAATTCTATTTGATATAATCGAAAGTTTAAGCTTACTTTTATAAAATTGCTCTTACAGTCTGCAAAAAATAATAAGCAGGATGCAATTCGAAAATTAAGGAACAACGCAATCATCAACATTAACTGAAATAGATAATTATTTAGCTTATACGTCCATTATACATAAAATGTGCACGCGAAAACGTATTCTGCACTTGCGCACACTCATATGCGCAGTCGTAAAAGGTCTTACGCGCATGTGTCAACGCGGCGCATGCGCAGAAAGTTTTTAGTTTTGATGTCCGGATTATAGATCATTCCGAATTATGGGTGTCCGAATTAACGACTTTTGACTGTACAGTAATATCTTGATTATAATGACTAATTAAAAATTCACGAAAACCTATTTCGATACATACTGGCAATGACTTGGAGGTTGCAAATAAATGTTAAGGATGAAATACAGTTAAATCAAAATTATCTGGAGGCATGGGTAATGATCATTCAGAGGCTTTATTATAAAGTCCGAAATCCGGGTGTCCACCACCAAACTAATAAATAAGCAAAATTCCCCGTGCCACTTACATAGTCTATGAATGGAGAATACAGTACAGTCAAAAGTCATTAATTCGGACACCCATAATCCGGAATGATCTATAATCTGGACCTCAAAGCTACAAACTTTCTGCGCACGCGTCGCGTTCACGCATGCGCACAGGTGTTTAAGAATGCGCGTAAGACCTTTACGGCTGCGAATATGTTTGTGCACATGCGCGTTTAATGTGTAACAGAGGTGTAAGTTAAGCTAAAATTATCTAATTCAGTTAATGTTGCACATTGCGTTGTTCCTTAATCTTCGAATTGGATCCGGCTTATTATTTTTTGCAGACTGTTAGAGCAATTTTATAAAAGTAAGCTTGAACTTTCGATTATGTCAAATAGAATTTCCAATATATATTTACTAATATGTAATTTGTATCTACAAAGCGAAAGTATGTTTTGAAATCCGAAATCTGTTTATCAATTTCACGCTGAGGATTGGAAGTTGATCTGTCAGCACTATCCTTATCTTCAGGGCAGATGTTTTTATTTTAATTTGGCTTATAATTCCTTACTAAGTGTAGTATTTCATGTCGATGTACTCCATGTTTGATATGATTTAAATCAAGTTCCTCGTCATTATAATTCGCTTCCGATAATGAAGAAAGTGACCCAGAGGTTATTGAAAACGAAAACATTTCGATTGACAAATTAGTCGGTATTCTCAACACAGCGATTATAGGACTTGAACAGCGGAACTTTGTAACTAAACAAGAAATTATGTCTGTTTAATAGAATTAAAGAGAAAGTATTATCACATGAAACGAAGCAACTTACATTGAAAGAAATGTTTAATAAAGTAAACAAATAAATATTTAGCTTTATCTTTTTGTAAATTTTGATACACTTTAGATCATAATTGTTCTTTATTTCATAAATTATGGTTTCATATTTTTAATTTTGTAATTTCTGCATGCCATCTTACCAGATTTAAACTGATGATCTATAATCCGGAATCGCCGAAGTCCAGACGAGTCCGGATTAACGACTTTTGACTGTACAAAGTCCGTAATCCGGACTTATCGGGACTTTGGCGATTAAGGATTATAGATCATCAATTTAAATCTGGTAAGATGGCATACA